GTTTTGTATTATTCATACATATTTTTGTAGATATACACCAATTCATTTGTCCAACTATTGTATAAATTATCATATTATAAATAGATCCATCTTAGACTTCCATTTAAGTTCCACCGGCACCAGTTCCTTCTGATTTTGTGGTTCCATTTAACAGTCATTGTCAGTCTTTTTGTATAAAATATATAGAAATATTAGTGAATATTATATAGCTAATCAAGTATAATCGATATTAAACTAACAACTCATTGTCTGACTGTCTAAGTAAATTATCATATTATAAAAAGATCCATCTTAGAATTTCATTTAAGTTCTAGAGCACCAGTTACTTCTAATCTTAGGGTTTCATTTAAGATCAGGGTCAGTCTTATGTGCGTTGGCATATTATTAAAGAAATCGGTTCTTAGCAACGACCGATTATATGTTTTTGTTTTTACGTGTAAGTAATAGATAAGAGATGTGCATTGACATGTTCTTAAAAAAATCATTTTTTGATCACGACCAATTGTATGTTACGCGTGTAAGTAATAGGTCAAAAAGAGTCAAGGCCAACATTTATTGTACGTTGGCATGTTCTTAAATAAATCAATTTTTAGTCACGGACAATTATGTTGTTTGTTTCGCGTGTAAATAATAGAAAAATGTTGAAAATATTAGTTTGTAGGTACGACGAGTTGCTCAGTTGTTGAACAAATAATGTTGTGTACAGGAAAGTTTAAATAATATATTTTCTTGCATGAGGAACATTTTATGGTTTGATAATTTTCCTACGAATTATCACTCTTTTATTTATTAATACATTTTGATTTTTAATATTCTCCATAGTAAATACAGCACGTGCATCGCACGGGTTACATACTAGTAACTACATTAAACATAAATATATCAATTGAGAAATAATTTTATTTTCTAATAAATTTTAATAAATATTATTATTTTTTATTATTATAAAGATAAAAATAATTTATTTATTTCATATATACAATACGGTTGTCAAATCGAAGATCATCAAAAGCTGATTAATTTGATATATTATATATGTAAAACCGACAAGAAATTCAAAAGTTATCAACTTTTAAAATACATTTACAATTCAATAGCTAATTGAAGGAAACAAATCAAAAGTCAGGGATATATTAGTCATTAACTATGTAAAATTACAAAGAATTAAAAGGTTATATTAGTACAAGTGATATTAAAATACCTAAGTTAGCTAAATAATATTTATGGAATGTTCGAACCTAAATTATTAATTATTAATATATCAACAATATTTGTCCAAACCTAATTACGAAGCATAATTTTTCGCCAAGTAAGATTACGTAATACTAAAAGCAGTCACGTAGGCTCAACGCATTCGAGAATTATATATAGGGGGGTTATACCCTACCGTCTTCTGACTCTATATGTTCTCAACATAATCATTTACCTATTTATGTTTTCAGCATTCACTAAAATTTGACTTTACAATGATGTAGTCTTAATCAATTATGATAAATTGCAATTTTCACCCCCATTCACAAAATTAGGAAATGACAAGTGTAGTACACTTTTCTTTTCTTTTCTTTTTTTTTTTCACTTTATCATTTTTTTGTATAAATAATTTACAGGGTCAATACCAAATCAAATTGGAAATTGTACTTCCTTGAAGGAAATATACCTTTATGAAAACCATTTGACAGGTATGAGCTATTTTTGTTTGGTTTCATGCTAATTCACCATTTATTTAGCAAATGACAAAATAATTATACCCTACACTATTATATGTTCTCAAAATAGCCAATATAATACCAATTTATGGGTTTAGCATTCACTATTAACAATGATGTAGTCTTAATTAATTATGATAAACTGCAATTTTCGTCCCATTTCACAAAATTAGGAAATGTCAAGTGCGGGAGGAATATAATTATTACTTTATCAAACATGCAAGCGGGAGGAACAGTACTAAAGTAATTATGATTGTGATGTACAATAACAGGTAGCATACCAAAAGAGCTGAATAAGTTGGCATTCCTTGAGACATTCGACGTGGGCGGCAATCAATTGTCGGGTCCAATCCCACCATGGATCTTCAACATATCAACTTTGAAGATTTTAGATCTTTCAGTTAATCGTTTCTATGGAATTCTTCCCCTCTCTCCCGAGCTCTCTCTTACAAATCTAATAGAACTGCATTTGTGGAGCAATGAACTCAATGGGGAGATTCCGATTTCGATCACCAATGCTTCTAATTTAAATATATTGGAATTGTCAAATAACTCATTCAGTGGCACCATACCCAACTTGGGCAGCTTAAGGCTCTTACGGGCACTTCTCATTTGGCGTAATTCTCTGAGTGGATTAGGATTTATCTCTTCATTAGCTAACTGCCAGTTTTTGGAGCATTTAGGCACTTCGTTCAACCCACTTAACGGCATCCTCCCCGATTCCATTGGGAATTTATCAAAATCTCTTACAGATTTCCAGGCACGTGGCTGTAACCTTAACGGAGTTATTCCTTCTGCCATCGGAAAACTGATTGGTCTGCAACTTTTAGATTTAAGAGAAAATCAAATCACAGGAGTTATACCTCCAACATTAGGGAAATTAAATCGACTTCAAAGATTACTTCTTAATGCCAATCAACTGCATGGTTTTATCCCTCAAGAGATTTGTGGGATGAGTAATATAGGTGAATTGTACCTGAATGAAAATAACCTCACAGGTCCCATACCGGAATGCTTCAGTGAGCTTAAATCCCTAAGAATTATCTCCTTAGGTTTCAACAAGTTGAATTCCAGCATAGCTCTCAACTTTTGGAACTTGAAGGACCTTTTGCTTCTCGACTTGTCCTCAAATCGTTTGAGTGGTCAACTTCCATATGAATTCGCAGGTTTGAGACAACTAAATCAGCTAGATTTGTCCTATAATCAATTTTCTGGAGACATTCCAAGATCAATCGATGGTTGCGAATCCTTAACGTCTCTAAATTTGTCAGATAACAAATTTGAAAGATCCATTCCTCCATCACTGGGAAATATCAGAAACTTAATGGCATTGGATTTATCTAACAATAATATTTCGGGGATAATACCTGAGTCCTTACAGGGCCTCAAATTCCTTCAATACTTTAATGTGTCTTACAACAAATTGGAAGGAATGATTCCAACAGGTGGCCCTTTTGTTAACATTACTGCACAATCTTTTCTTCACAACTCTGCTCTTTGTGGAGATCAAAGATTTCAAGTGCCTCCATGCATTGGAAATAATCTGAAGAATTCTAGACTAAAGAAAGTTGATCGGCTGATGAAGTATATTGTGCCTCCATTCATTTCAGTTATCATCTTAGCAGCCATAATACTATTTGTGTTTGTGAGGACACGAAAACCAAAAAGAGGGCTTGCTCCTAATGATGATGTTCCGCTTGGTGTTACTTGGAGAAGAATCTCATACATAGAACTTGTTAGGGGAACTGACAACTTCAGCGAAACAAACTTACTTGGAAATGGCAGCTTTGGTTCGGTTTTCAAAGGGGTGCTTTCTGATGGACTAAATGTCGCAGTGAAAGTCTTCAACTCGCAATTAGAAAGAGCTATCCGCAGTTTTGATATGGAATGTGAAATACTTAGCAGCATTCGACACAGAAACTTGGTCCAAATAATTGGTTGTTGTAGCAACACAGAATTCAAAGCATTGATTCTCGGGTTCATGCCAAATGGCAGCCTCGAGAAATGGTTGCACTTGGAAAACTGTGGCTTGGATTTGATATCAAGGCTGCAAATTGCAATAGATGTTGCATTAGCCTTGGAATATCTCCATCATGGCCATTCATTCCCGGTCGTTCATTGTGATATAAAACCGAGTAATGTGTTGCTTGATGAGGATATGGTTGCCCACCTATGTGATTTTGGGATAGCCAAGCTTTTTGATGATGGGGAGAATATTGTTCTTACTAAAACAATGGGGACAATTGGTTACGCCGCACCAGGTAACATTTTTAATGTTGATCTTAATTCCTTATTTATTATCTTTTATTTTTTATTTTTTTTCCCTGTTTCATTCTTTATTATTTTACATAATGGGTCAAATTAGAAACTTTTTCCTTTTCCGATTTAATGTAACCACTCTTTACTGCACTTAAAAAGTCATTCCTAACTTAATATGTTTATTTAAATTGAAAAATCTAAACTAATCCAACGATAATGGTGTGCTTGTGATACAATTAGAGTATGGATCAGGAGGCAGAGTGTCAACAAGTGCAGATGTTTATAGTTATGGCATACTGTTGCTGGAAATGTTCACGAGCAAGAAGCCAACTGATGATATTTTCAATGAAGAGATGAGCTTGAAGGAGTGGGTACTTGAAGCGATACAAGAAAATACTGTTGCTAAAATTGTGGGCCCTAATTTGCTAGCAAGTGAAGATCAGAATTTTCATGCAAAGGAAGAATGTTTCTCGTCTATCTTTGGCTTGGCAATGAAATGTCTAGCTGTAATGCCTGATGAAAGGATTAACATGATGGAAACGACAGCTACATTGCAGAGGATTAAAGCTAAATTTGTGGCTGACACTACAAATCATCAACAATATGCATTGTCCATTATTTCGAGACAATAGTTATTGATATATAATACGGCATGGTTTCCAGACTGTGGCATATATGACTAGGTAGTTATTATGTTCCGGACTGTGATGTACTACTTGTAATAAAAAACAGGCTTTCTACTCGGGTTTAATCAAATGAATCATAACTTTTATACAGTTGCAAGTACCTAAAGGCATATTAAAATGAGATGTCACTGCTGTAGTGAAGAATCTGCAAATTACCACAGCACACAAGCTCAAAATGTCTCTTAAATGATGATGGAGATGAGTACAAGCATGATATTTGGATCTTTACTTTTATTATTTATTTCTTTTATTTATAGTTAGTATTTTAGTTCTAGATTTTTTAGTAAAGTTATTCTAATCTTTTATTTGGTAGGAAAAATATTTAATTATCCTTTACTTTACTTGTTAGACAAGATTAGATTTAAGTCTTAAGAGTCATTTAAATCTTGTTCTCTTGTGTTTCAAGGTGTTAAATTTGATTAAAAAATATATAGGAGAGTCTTTCTCTTGTTTTATCCCTTTCGTTCACGTTCTCCCTGCGCTACAGTAATTTTAGTTTGAGGAACTTTTCTGCATCCCATGCCATTACTGCCTGAAACCGAGGACAAGAGAGGCTCTAGTTTGAATTAAAACATGGGTAATCTACTTGGGGCTTGGAATACATTATAATAGTTCTGAAAGGCTTCGAGATACTGTTAGATCTATAAATTTCACGATAATAACTAAACTATATGATTATGACTCTACTTTCTTTTACCATATCTAGGTCCGATGGGTGTTGTTCGAATGCACTCTCGTTGCCTGGAGATAGACTCTAAAGACAGTGTGATAGAACCAAAATGTGACATATATATATATAATTCCTAAGTAACTAACTCTAAGATTCTTTGCGTTCAATGGGAAACAACTTTTCAATAATTAAACTCCATTTTCCTTCAGGCCCTTTTTCCATTTCAACATTTCTTACACCACTTCATTTTCAGAAACAGTTCCAAACATCCAACTGCTTCTTCATCCACTCCCTTTCACTCCTCTTCTAAATTCAGACTCCACACTCTGCAGCCACTCCACAAACTAGCTTCACATTCTTCCAAATCTACGACCCTTTATTCTATTTAGGTGGGTGCCTTAGTTGGAAATTATTTTTATTTATCAATAATCATAATGTTTAAGACTGCCTGCAAAAATATATATAATATCAAACAAAACAAAGCAAAACAAAAATATAACCAAGTCCTCTTCATCTTTCCTAAGCATGCAGGTACACTGGAATCACTTTCATATTCCAGTATATATTCATTCGTGCCAAAATCTAAATTAAAGTGCAGCCCAGCGTAGTACCTGGGCGAAAACGGCCCTCTTCAGAGTGAAGTTCTCGAGCAGGCCTGCCAGCTAGGAAGTGCAGTGGGCCCATCCGCCTCGTCTCATCAAACTTGGACTGGGTCTGGATTCTCTGGAACTTGGGCCCGGCCCAGGTCAGGACCTAAGCGGTGTCTACAAGCAGGACAAACATAAGCATAAGACACCAGAAATTTGGATGAAATGAAGATACTAACTATATAAGATAGAACTTGACTAGAGTAACCAACAGTAACACATAAAATGTCTCTATCACAGAAATTAGTTCCTACTGGAACATTATCTAATCGCAACATAGAAGCTTATTACACAACGACCTAATAGAGGGTACAATCGACAACTGAGGATTTCAGAAAGTAAATATTCAAATGTGTTTGATTGTTAAGATGCAGTCCAGGGTTAACGAACCGAAAGATTTGATTCATCAATCTGATGTCGTTTCAAGATGTATTCAAAGAACGAATGTTGACGTATAGTTGCAGTGTATGTTCATCTAACTCTGTCATATAAGCATCTGATTTTTACCACAAAGAGATGACATAAAAGATACCACATAAAACGAACAACCCATAAACATCACTAAACCACACAAACAAAGCCATCAACCATAGAACATGAAGATAAAAAATCACCATCGGCCATAAAAACAAACGCTGTATACAAGCTTCGAGGTTAGCCCCAACAGATTATCTTCACACCAGAATCCATAATTACTCAATAGAATACAATACACATACAGAAATGCTGTTGAAGAAAACTCCTCAAATTTTATCAAATTAACCATCTCGGCATAACTAACAGAAAAAAGAAACAATTCCAGAAGAGTGAATAGAAGTAGAAAAAGCAGCTACAACTGGAGTGAAAATACCGAAAAGGCCTCGCCGATTTGCAGGATTTGAGGAGGGAATGGGGGCAGCTTGTGAAATTTCCATTAGAGGGCTTTGCTGATAGCTTCCGGTGCGTACTGCGTAGGAAGGAGAGATGGCCGGCGCCTGTGAGAAGCTAATTCGAGTCCGGTAAGCTGCAGACACGCTTTATGTCATCTCAAAAAGTTTTTTCACAAACTATCTTTTGATGAAACCATGGTTATGAAAAATTTAACCGGCAAAACTACTCCTTCAATGATTCACTGGTCCAATTAATGGTCGGACTGGTCGAACCAGTTTAATTAATATATAATTTTATATTTATTTTCTATTGTATAATATTTAATATTTAATTATATATATTTTAATTATATAGTGTATGACATTTTTTAAATAATAACTCGATATAATCAACATTGTCGGTTATATCTATTATTGAGTTATTATTTAAAGAAATGTCAATGTTAATTAATGTTTATAATTTTATTATTTAAAATTTTAATCTATATTTAAGTTGCAAAATAGAGAAAAAAAATCACATTTTAAATTTTTATTATTGATTACAAAATAAAAAATAATAATAATGTACATAACAAACAACAATAATTTTATTTATTTCTTTCTTAATAAATTGAGAATAGATATAGCCCAATAGATAATTCAGCTTAAAAAATAATACATTTTTTTAATGATTAAAATATTGCTTGTAAGGCCCAATATTGGTCCAATAATTTTAGCAAGAGAACATATCTCACATTGTAAACAAAAGTAAAAATTGTGTGCTATTTAAACCACTTCTCAATCAACACATTTCAAATTCAAAAGTTTGAACTGGTGAACCATTCGACCCGGTTCTGGTTCACCTATTCAATCAGTTTTGAACTGATTCGAACGGTTTTTGACCGGTTCAAATGCTAGAGGATTTGATGTGGCAAATTGGATCGGAATAAATGTCAATTTCTTCCAACCGGTTGAACCAGCCGGTTGGGTTCGTTTTTCAAAATCATGGATAAAACATAAGCTCAATTGTAGATTAAATCACAATTTTTGTTTCTTTAGAAATTTGATTGATAATACCTTTTTATTTTGGCTATGAAAGTCACCACCTTTCTATTTTTGTTTCATTCACATTATATATTGTTGATAGCCGAGTTGGCTTGGATTGAACCGGATACCGAACCTCTCAGGACCGAGCTGAAGACCCGGTCTGGTGAAGAAATGCCGAGCTGAACCGAGGATTAAAGAGGTTTAGAGCCACCACAGTAACGTTCTCTCAGCCCGGCACCTGGCTCAGTCCGGACAAAGGCCGGCCTGGAGGGGTGCTGGACAGAAAGAAGACTATTCGCAGTCTCGTGAACACTTTTGGAATGAGGTGCCGGCCTGAAAATCCGAGGAGGCCGACCAGAGGGAAAGCACAGGCCTCAATGAGCATTAAAATATTCCCACTTGGGAGGCCATCATTGGACGATGGGACAAGTAATCATGGCCTAGCACCCTACCAGTAAGCCTAAATCAATAAAGCCAACCAGCATTAAATGCCCCCCATGCTGGCATTTAATGCCTGAGGTAATGATTGAAGAAACCTCAAATCGCATTAAATACATGTCAGACGGACGCCGGACTGCTTTTCAAAACCACTGTGCGACAAGATTGGTGAACAGTAGCTGAATAGTGCCACATTAAAGACTACTATAAATAGCAGCTCATTTCATTTATTTTGGGTTGTTGAAATTCAACTAACTCTGCC